TAGCACTTAACTGTAATCATATAAAATTTGAATTTACAGAAATTACTAATTTTTAATCCTTCACTCTACTCTTCGTGTCCTTATGATTTTGAAAAATTACATAGGTCTTAAAAGTTAAAAACATATGGACATTAAAACTTGTTTCCATCTAACCATTTACTGTCCTTATAAACGTTTTTACATGCTTACTGGATTATATTTTCAGAAACCTGATTATTTTATAGTATATGTATGGTCAGTATTGATAATATACCGGTGGCATAATAACAGAAACCACAGAGGCACATAAATGTTGTCAATATTAAAATAGAAGCTATGGTAAAAACACAGTGAATTACTGTACAGTATAAGCATTGAGACTGCCTTGGGGAAATTGGAAAAGTGACTTTAATTGGGAAAGAATCTTTTCCTTTAGAGTTTCCCCATCAGTCAGTATAATTTTCAGACGTGAAATTTTAAAGAGATTAATTGGTAGTTTCTTGCTCAAACTATCTAGTCAAGTGTGAATACATAGCCAGAATATTTAGAAATACGTAGATTGATGGTTAGTCCATATTCCAACAGTTATAAACAATGAACAGAAATGCTTCTGATTAAAGTCGAAATAGTATATTTCTATATGTGATTTTCTATGAACTGGCTCCATTTAAGGTGACTATAATATAGTGGAAAAGAAAACGATTCTAACAATCTAGGTTTCAATAAAGAGAAGATGAAAAGGTGTTAGGCTAATATAGAGGAATATAAATGTATACTGATATTGTATTGGTCAGAAGTTGGGGTTGACAGAATGTATAGCATAAAAGTTAAAGCACTATATAATGTCACAAACACATTTTATTCTAAAGAAAGGCATAATTTTGGATTCTGCCTCTTAATTTTTCATAGTTTTTGAAGGATTGAGATGTAATATCTTAGATGAGTTGCTCCATTTTCCTGAATTATAATTTATGGGTCAGATACTGTTAAATGCTTCATGATTATCTAGGGAAGTTTAGAAACTATCATTATATTATTTTACCTATAAAATACTTTCCAACTGATGATAATAAATACTAAGGCTTGTTTATAAAGACCAGTAGTGAAGCTAGAGATTAGAGATACAGTAGTTGAATTTTCATCAATTCCTGAAAAATATGTCAAAATAGAATATGCAATAATTCACAATATAGTTGTTAAAAATTGTTTTGACAGGGTATTTTAGTATTTTGGAGTAACTAATTTTAGATTCTTTATTGTTTGGTAAGAATATTCTTTAGAATAAAATCTTACCTCCTAGCATACCTTTAATATACTGTAAGGTAACTTAACCATATTTTTAGAAACCTAATTCCATGTTAAGTAACAGTGACAGTAGTTTCAGAAATTGTCACCACTATTCTATTTTTACTTAAATCCAGTACAAATCAGTATCTACAATATGATTCACATGTTTTAGGCAAATTTCATAATCTCTAGAATAAAGTGATTGCTGGATTTAATATTGAATTCAGTTTATTGAAGGTATGATTTTTAAAAAGCACTTACATGACTTGCTAAGGACGAATTGTTAATATTCTTTTTACTGGAACTGAATTATCTAAGTAAATATCCTTATTTATTAATAAAATGAAATATATTCCTTATGTTATTAAAGGCGCACTATATTTATATCCTACTTACTTTAAAAAATTCATGCTAATTCCTCAGGGACTTAAGTGTTCTGTTTTACTTTTTATTCTACTTCTGTCCAATAATAGTAGATGTTAAATATATTACTAGATGTTAAATATAATACTAGATGTTAAATATATTACTAGACATCCCTAAGTTGCAAAGAAGTTTTGTTCTAAATGTTTAGTTGTAAAGTGATTGATACTCAAAATATATTTTGCCCAAGAAGTCATTTTATAAATAAGAGTTGGTTTCTGAAGCCCAACCACAAGAGCCAAATTAACATATAATAGAGCTGAGTTACACCACTAATAAAAGTAGTTCCTTCCTTTCACCTGAGGTGCTGTTTACTGCTGGGGCACAAAGGGAAAGGAAATCACTAGACTATTTTAGCCATAGTGGGTTTCAATATAGAAAAAAAGGAAAAAGCCATGAAAAGTAGAGATAGTTTAAGGGAGATTTAATCGGTTCTCTAATTCAACATGCATTCTCTAATTCAGTGGTTGAGCACCTCGTCTGTTTCAGCCTCCTTAGATCCAGGTTGCCAGTCCCCACGAAACCCAGCATTTTAGAGGTGTTATTGGTAATCTTGGATAGAAATGCATAAGATTACCCAGGGAAGTTCCGCGAGGAAGAAAGTCACCATTATGTTGACTTGCCTTCAAAATATCCAATTTCCCCTTTCACATTTTCTGATAATTGTTACTTCATTCATATGTTTATGTATAGCTACATAATTTCTTATTCAGCTCAGATGGAATTTTACAGAAAGTAGAATTTATTTAATCAAACAACCTCCAAATAAAATTTAAACAATTATTTCCTTATGTACCATATACATCAGTGAAACTCTAGGATTTTACTCTTGGAACAGTACCAATTTCTTGCTATGAAGTAAGGCTTATGGGTGACTGCTGCATTTCTAGAGACACTCTATGTTTATTAACTTAGATTGGAAAAAATTACATGATTTTTTACATACCCAAATGTACTTGAATTCTTAGCATAAAGTCTGCATCTAATGGAGGTTAGATGGTCATTTTGAGAAGGAACTGATGCTTTCACGTTCTTTAGAGAAATTTTCACTTATCTCAGTATTGTAGTAAAGTCTGTAGATATAACTAGCCAGTTAGTGAGATATGGCTATGCTAAAAATATTCATCTTGACAGGAGTATATTCGTATTGTTGTTGTTTTTTGTTTTGTTTTTGTGATGCTTTAAGCTTTCATTTAGGCATATTAACTTGATGAAGTTGTGGTATCAATATTATAATATCATAGTTCCTAAGAAATTGGAGAGAGTTCTAAAAATCATTTACCCTCTTGCCTGGCCGGCGTGGCTGAGTGGTTGAGCGTCGACCCATGAACCAGAAGATCACGGTTGGATTCCTGGTCAGGGTACATGTCCGGGTTGCAGGCTCAATCCCCAGTGGAGAGCATGCAGGAGGCAGCCCATCAATGATTCTCTATCATCATTCATGTTTCTACCCCACCTCTCACTCTCTCTGCCTCTTTCTGAAATCAATAAAAACATATTTTAAAAAATGGGCAGAGGACCCCAAACACACTTCTCCCAAGAAGACATGCAAATGACCAATAGATATCTGAAAAGATGCTCAACTTCACTAGCTGTTGAGGAAATGCAAACCAGAACTACAGTGAGATACCAGTTTTGTAGCTTCTGATTCCTTTATTAAAACCTTTCCTACCTGGAAAACGCAGAGTGACTTCTGTTTTCTGTAATGAACTCTCATTGAATGAATGAATGAGGAATGAATCCACAAGCTGTACTGCAGGTATGGGGGAAAGGGACCCAGGGCCACAGAGGAGACTTGAGAGGACAGAGATGATGTTGCCGGGTTACATCATTCCACATGTATCTTTTCTCTGTTCTTGCTTTCGGGTCAAAAAATACTGTCTGAGAAATTCACAACTGTGCTAACATTGGTCATCTTTACATTCAAGCGATCCCATAAATTCAAGTGATCCCACTATTTCATTATCTCCTGTTCATGCCTTCTGACACAGTTTTCATAGCAGTTATTCTAAACCTCTTCTGTCATATTCAGCATCCCAGTTCCATTGCTTCTCATGGCTAGTGCTTGACATTTTCTGAGTTCGTGCCAGAGAAGAGGACAATGTGTATATTTTGTTGACAAAAAGCATTAATACTGAGTGTGACTGCAAGGTCCATCTGGCTGTATCAGTGTTGGGGGGGGTGGGAGGGCAGATACAATATATAGTGTCTTTCTCTGAGGCTATAAGGAATATGAGGGGTCAGATGTGACGTTTGAGAAATGTCATCGAGCTGGCCTATCGTCCTTAATGAAGGTGGAGTAAGAATAGCAGCCCTTTCTGACTTCAGGGGTTTTGTGATGAATAAGTCATTATTTATTGTTGGCACTTATTTAAATTGCTTATATTTCAAGTTAGAGCAGAAAGGAAGGGTTGGAGCTGTGATGATAAGAGGAAGCCTTAGAGGAACCAATGCTAGAAGTGATTTACATAGGTAGAAGAATGAAAAATGATTTTTAAAAAAGTTTATCTTATTGTTGAAAGTATTACAGATGCCCCCCTTTTTTCTCCATTGACCCCCTCCATCCCACTCAGCCCTGCCAGGCCTTCACCGCCCTATTGTCTGTGTCCATGGGTTATGCATATATGCGTATAAATATTTGGTTGATCTCTCCCACCCCCCACCCCCCTATGCCCACCGTTACTCTGAGAATCGTCAGTCTGTTCCATGCTTCTGTGTCTCTGTTTCTATTTTGTTTGTCAGTTTATTTTGTTCACTAGATTCCACCTATGAGCGAGATCATGTGATACTTGCTCTCTGACTGGCTTATTTCACTTAGCGACCAACACTTAGCTTTAGTTAGAAAGAAAGTATTCAACTCTTGAGCCAAGTCAGTTTGACTTCATTATTTTGTTAAGCAATTTTCATACCAAGGTGTCAGAATGGAGAGAATGGAAGGTGGGATTTTTTTTTAAAAGTTTCTGAATAACAGTTGGGAGATAGCTGAAGTTGGAGCCAGGCAAGGAAATTAGAAAAAACTGTTTTACATCAGCAGAATTTGATGGTTATCTAAGTTCTGAATAAGTACATTTCATATGTAGTGTATCAGTCTTGTAATAACCACATCAAAAATATCTTTTAAATTTCCTATTTGAACTAAATATATAGAATGCATATAAGTAAAACTTGTTTTGGCATGAGTTTGAAATGAAATTTAACAAAGAAGCAAAAAGAACCATTTGAATGTATCCACCAACCTTTCTGTGGATCAGTGAAATGTAGAATTATTTAAACGTTGCTCTTCTCATCATTTCTTTTCTTTGATTACTTAGGAAAAGAAGTCCATCGGTGTCCAGAGATCAGAATAGGAGATACGACCAACGGGAAGAAAGAGAGGAATATTCACAGTATGCGCCTTCAGACAGCGCAATGCCTAGGTCTCCATCAGATTACGCTGACAGGCGGCCTCAGCGCGAACCTCAGTTTTACGAAGAATCTGGTCACATAAATTACAGGGACCCCAACAGGAGAAGTCATAGGCATTCCAAAGAATATATTGTCGATGACGAGGACGTGGAAAGCAGAGATGAGTATGAGAGACAGAGGAGAGAGGAGGAATACCAGGCCCGCTACCGCAGTGATCCCAATTTGGCCCGTTATCCAGTCAAGCCCCAGCCCTACGAGGAACAAATGCGTATCCATGCCGAAGTGTCCAGAGCGCGGCACGAGAGGAGACATAGCGATGTTTCTTTGGCAAATGCTGAACTGGAAGATTCCAGGATTTCTGTGCTAAGGATGGAGCGGCCATCAAGGCAGAGATCTATATCTGAACGTAGAGCTGCCATGGAAAATCAGCGAGCCTATTCCATGGAAAGAACTCGAGAGGCTCAGGGGCCAAGTTCCTATCCACAAAGGACCACAAACCATAGCCCTCCTACCCCCCGGAGGAGTCCAATACCCATTGATCGACAAGACATGAGGCGGACCGACTCCCTAAGGAAGCAACACCACTTAGACCCTAGCTCCGCGGTGAGGAAAACCAAACGGGAGAAAATGGAAACGATGCTCAGGAATGATTCTCTCAGCTCCGACCAGTCAGAGTCGGTGAGACCGCCGCCACCGAAGCCGCACAAATCCAAGAAAGGAGGTAAAATGCGCCAGGTGTCCTTGAGCAGCTCGGAGGAGGAACTCGCGTCCACACCCGAATACACAAGTTGTGATGACGTTGAGATTGAAAGTGAGAGTGTCAGTGAGAAAGGTAAGCTGCTCTATTGTGACCACACAGCTCCCTGCAATTGATTAGATGAGAGTTCTTTGTTTTAGGTTGTACTTGGGAGTAGACATTTAAAAGTTAGATATTCCTACTTTTATTTAAAAAGTGTTTTAACGGTGTTGGTCGCGTGAAGAAAATTTCCAGTTGTAAAATGTGAACATCCTCTGTAGGTCTGTTGATTTTTAAAACTTTTTTTTTTCCTGTTTTTTGCTTTGTTTCTGAAAATTTTCTTACGCTACTTGATGGCATATTTTTATCTATTAGCTGCATAACCTCTTTTGTGTTTCCTTTTAAAAGTACAGTGGGGCCTTGACTTACGAGTGTCCCGACTAACGAGTTTTTTGAGATACCAGCTGTCTCTCGGCCAATTTTTTGCATTGAGTTGATAGAGTAAATTTGAGTTAACGAGTTCCTTCATGAGCTCGGTCTCGGAACGAATTAAACTCGTAAGTCAAGGCCCCACTGTAACAATGTTTACTAGAGAACATCTGAAAAATTCCTCAGAGTGTAAAGAGTGAAATACAAGTTATCCATAATCCTGTTCCCCAAATGTAACCATTATTAACATTTCGTTGTATTTCTTCCCTTTTTCCTATGTATGTATTTTTTTTCAACTGATACCATATCACTCGCTTTTCTCAAGCCATTAGATATTCTTCAGAAATATGTTTTAAATGGCTGCACTAATATTCTATCGTAAGGATATACCACAAACTAACTATTCCTTTATTTGGGGCATTGCAGTTGCTTCCAGTTGTTATTATAAATGATATTATAATGGTTATCTTTATGCATAATTTTTGCCTATATCTCTTAGTATTTCACAAATATATATTTGTGCTTTGATTTTTTTAAGCTTTTACTTCAGATTAACATCCTGCTTTCCAAAAAGGTTATAACACTCTATGTTCCTGTCATATGCTTTCATCATCAAATAGGCTTGAGCTTTTGGGCTAGAATTAGATGCACCATATCTTTGCTATTTGAATACACCACAAAAAATGCTATCTCATTTTAATTTGAATTGGATTGTGCGGTTGAATATTTTGTATGTAAATTGGTGTTTGATATCTTCTATGAATTATCATTCCGTTTATTTCTTCTGCTCATGTTCCTATTGGGTATTAATTTGTTTTTGTCTTATTGATTTTATAAGAGTTTTTTATTTGCTCATTTAACTGTCATCTGTTCCAAATGCATTTCACATTTTGATGTTTACCTACTAATTTTCTTTGGTCATTGGGAAATATAGAACATAATATAGATAAGTCTTTATATTCTTCGTTGTTTTTTTTTCTATTCCTTTTATCTCCAGAAAAATCTTTATTCATCCCCAAATTAGTTGAATATTTAACTCTAATTTCTCATGATTTTATTATTAATTTTAAAAATGTTAAACTTCTTAATCTTTCTTTAATTTATTTTGGTGTATGCCAAAACACACCAGATAGGCGAGTATCTAACGTGAATCCCTTGTACCGTCCTCGCCCACCTCCACACACACAATTTTCTAACACTGTTGGAGGAATAATTGATATCATGTTTATAAGAATGAATGGAGATCAATAAAGGAATTCAGGAAGGCAGCTGGATATGAAATTAATATTGTATGAAAAATAATTAGAAAATATAAATGAAAAGGAGTTTACGTTCTGAACTAAAAACAGAAAATGTGATTTAAAATAAATAATAAGACATGAGGAGGGCCTACATGAAGAAAGCTATAAAACTTGACTGGGTAGCATACAGGAAGAGATTCACTTCATGCTCCTAATTGGGGAGGCCAGCTACCCTAAAGATGCATATTCTTTTCAGATTATCTCTTGGGGTCAATAACACTTTAGTCATAATCTTAATTGGTTCATTGAACTATCCTATTTCTAAAGTTATACTGGGAGGTGTAGAGGAGGAAGAACTTAACTCTTTCACCACCTCTGCATCTAGGTTCATTGGCTGGGGTCCTATAAATTAGACTGACAAAAGACAGATTAACAAGAGAAAAACAAATTTATTATCATGTGCATTGCACACATATATAGGAGCGCTCAGCCAGGAGAAACTCCAAGGGATAGTTAGAATTTGGGCTTATATAACACAAGAACAATACATTTTTAAAGACAGGACAGGACAAAGGAAAAGGATTTTCAGCCTCTAGGGGTGACAAATTGTAGGAACTAATTGAAGAGAAGGGCTAATTTTAGCAAGGTTTGTTATGTTGACTCCTGTGGTGCTTATAAGGTCAGGAATTATATCCAGTGGTTAACTTCTGTCCTCCTGTTAGAGAAGGGGGCGGGATCACCTTTCCAAATACATGTCCTGCTTTTAGGCCAATAGGGAGAGGACAGGGAACTTCACTTGTATCTGCTTCTCCTCCCTCCAGGCCTCCACCACCCTGTTGTCTGTGTCCATGAGCTGTGCATATACGCATACAGGTTCTTTGGTTGATCTCTTCCCACCCGTCCACCCCGTACCTTCCCTCTGAGACTGGACAGTCTCTTCCATGCTTCTATGTTTCTGGATCTATTTTGTTCAACAGTTTATTTTGTTCATTAGATTCTACATCTGAGTGAGATCATGTGATTTTTATCTTTCTCTGACTGGCTTATTTCGCTTAGCATAATAACCTCCAGGTCCCTCCATGCTTTTACCCCTTTTGATATGACTCGAGGAACACAGAAATGTTGCCAAAAATCTCTCTGTCAGTGGCCTGCCATGGGACATGAGGTTCCCCCTATTGGTGTTCCTTTCTGGGGGGATTCCACAGAAAGAGAGAAGAGTTTATCTCTCCAGCACAGCTAGATCCTGAAACACAGAGTGGCCAGCATAGAAATGGCAGGTTCTAGGCTCCAGTTTGCAGGGGAGGAGGATGCAAAGGAGGGCCCTGAGGAGAAGGTGAGGAAGAGGAGAGGAACTGGGAAAGGGCCTCACAGTTACCAGGCACCTATATTTCACTCACGCTTCTACAAAGAATTCTTTGTATCATTGGCAAATATGTTCTCCCATGCAGTGGGCTCTCTTTTCATTTTATTGATTGTTTCTTTTGCTGTGCAGAAGCTATTTATTTTGATGTAGTCCCAGTTGTTTATTTTCTCTTTGTTTTCCTTGCCTTCGGAGATGTATCAGCAAACATATTGCTATGAGAGATGTCTGAGATTTTGCTGTCTATGGTTTCTTCTAGGATTTTTACGGTTTCACAACTTACATTTAAGTCTTTTATCCATTTTGAATTTATTCTCGTGTATGGTGTTAAGTTGGTGGTCTACTTTCATTATTTTGCCTGTACTTGCCCAATTTCCCCAAAACCATGTATTGAAGAGACTGTCTTTATTCCAGTGTATGCTGTTGCTTCCTTTGTCAAATACTAATTGAGCATAATGGCTTGGTTTGATTTCTGGGTTCTCTGTTCTGTTCCATTGATCTGTATGCCTGTTCTTGTGCCAGTATCAGGTTGTTTTGATTACAGCAGCTTTGTAGTATAATTTCATATCTGGTATTTTGATCCCTCCAATTCTGTTCTTCTTTGTTAAGATTGTTGTGGCTATTTGGGGTCTTTTTTTGCTCCATATAAATTTTTGGGGTATTTGTTCTAGATCTGTGAAATATGCTGTTGGTATTTTAATTGGGATTGCATTGAATCTATCGATAGTTTGGTAAGACTCATTCTTTTTTTTATGGCTTAGAAGAGTATATATATATCACAGCTTTTTTATCCACTTGTCTATTTATGGGCATTTGGGTTCCTTCTGTATCTTGGCTACTTTAAATAATGCTGCAATGAACATAGGGGTGCATATAGTCTTTCAAATTAGTGTTTTGGGTTTCTTTAGATATATACACAGGAGTTGGATCACTGGGTCATAAGACAGTTACATTTTTATTTCTTGAGGAAACTCCATACTGTTTTCCATAAAGACTGCACCAGTCTGCATTCCCACCAACAGTGTAGGAGGGTTCCCTTTTCTCCACATCCTCATCAATACTTGTTTGTTGTTTTATTAATAAGCCATTCTAGCAGGTGTGAGGTGATAGAGTTTATTGTGGTTTTAATTTGCATTTCTCTGATGATTAGTGACACTGAGCATCTTTTTACATGTCTATAGGCCATCTGTGTGTCCTCTTTGGAGAAGTATCGGGGTCCTCTGCCCAGTTTTAAATTGGATTGTTTTTTATTATTATTATTGTTGAGTTGCCTGAATTCTTAATAAATTTTGGATACTAACTCCCTTATCATATGCATCATTGGCGAACATCTTCCATTCAGTAGCTTGTTTTGTTTTGTTGATGCTTTCCTTTGCTGTGCAAACCTTTTAAGTTTGATGTAGTCCCATTTGTTTATTTTTTTTTTGTTTCCTTTGCCTGAGGAGATATATCAGAAAAAAATATTGCTAAGAGAAATGTCAGATATTTTACTGCCTTCGTTTTTTCTAAGGGTTTTATGGTTTCAAGTCTTACATTTATATCTTTAATCCACTTTGAGTTTATACTTGTGTATGGTGTAAGAAGGTGGTCTAGTTCCAGTTTTTGCCTGTATCTGTTCAATTTTCCCAATGTCATTTGCTGAATAAACTTGTCTTTATCCCATTGTATGTTCTTGCTGCTTTTGGCATATATTAATTGACCATGTACATGTGGGTTTATTTCTTGGTGGTGTGTTCTGTTGAGTTCTCTCTCTCTCTCTCTTTTCAGTCCCTTTACCCACCTAAGCCTCCACCCTGCCCCAAGCAGTCTGTCTGCTCTTTATCTATGAGTCTGTCTCTATTTTGCTTGGTGATTCAGTTTGTTCTGCTATATTTGACTGCACTATATTTGACTAACTCATCCGGGAAAGTTATACATGCGTTGGGCTTTCCTTTTCTCCAGCTTGTGTGAGAATCTGCCTGTTTTCCTTTCTAGGACACACCCGTGATAATTACCTCTGCCTTCTTGGAATCATGTCTTCTCCACATCCGGGCCTTGCATTTAACTATTTTCATCTCTATCATAACGTCGTACTCTTGTTTGCTTGCAGG